ACCGCCTGAGTGGGAAGCGTTACCGAGTCACTCAGAATAAAACTGCCACTAAGTGCTGTTTGGGGAAGGGAAAGAAAAAAAAGAAAAAAAGCAAATCCTCACTGTTTCTCAGGCATTGTAGGAAATGAAAACGGCTATTCCTGCCTGGTAGAGAGTCCAATTATGAATAATGCGCATTCTCTCCCAGCACAAAGGATGAAAGGCATCAGAGCTGGTGGTGACATTTTAAGACTGGAGTTGTAAGAATGAATCTGAGCCTTGTTGCAAGGCCAGCTTTACCCCAATAAAGAATTGCTTTCTGCAGTCAATTGCCTTGCAGCGTAGCTTCAAGCTCTGCTATTGATCTAGCATCTGTTATAAGCAGATAATCATTGTCACTGTGCCACGGCTGCTACAACAGGATCTCAAAGCACTTTCCAGAAGATGGTCGAGGGCTGTTTTCGTGTTCTTACCCACAGCTACACGCAGGCAAAGGCTTTTCAGGGAGATCACGAAACTCTTGCAGATTTGCAGAATTTTAAGGCCAGAAGAGACCATTAAATCACCCACTCCAGCTGGCTCATCTATCCAATCCCGCCCTGTGCTGAATGCACAAAGCTGTGCAGGGCCCCCCTCTGCCAGCAGCCCGCCCCAGCCCTCGCCCTGCTGCCGGCTGACAGTTATTTCTTACCCTGCAATTTCCTTTCCCCAGCCAGGTACTAACACACCACAATCAAGCCACCTCTCAATCTTTCCCTTCTGTGAGACGAGCAGCCAGAGCTGCTGAAATCCCACAGCATAAGGCATTTTTCTCCTGCCCCCAGAAGGTTTCTGGGTTTGGCTCCTGGAGGTTTCAATCCTGACAGCTCGCAGCAGTGTGGGGAGGTTTAGGCAGGCACCTTCCTCCAAATTTAGAAAGAAGTGGTCAGAAGGAGGTGAAATTGGGCTTCCAGTGCCTGCAAACTCCCCCTCCACCCCACTCAGGCACTTCTTATCCACTTGGCAGGTTTCTCTAGTCTCCAAAGAAGGAGCAAAGGAAGGGAAATTAAAAATAAATGAACCAAGAGATACGCATCCATCAGGAGCCAGGCGTTGTCAGCTCAGGTCCCTGTGCAACCACTTCTTTAATCAAAACCTCATGCAGTTTAAACACTTGACAGAAGCCGAGAACAGAGATCTTGTTACCCTGAACAGGAAAAGCTGCAACCTTGAAGAATAAAATCACATTTGCCTGATGGGGTCTATTTTCTTGATAAATCATGCTAAATTACGCTAATCCTACTCCCAACCTTGACACCTGAGCTTTTGCCCTGCAGATTCCTACAGGATGCATGGGTATTTCGGGAGGGTCACAAGAGGTGATGGGAAGAGCACGCTCTCACACAGCAACTGAAGATGTGCCATTTCTAAATCAGGCCATGACGCCAGCCATAAATTTTTAAGAGGCTCAAATCATGAAAAGAATTGCTGGTGGATGGATGTGCTCCCCACTTCAACCTGCTTGCGTGGTGACAGACGTCACGCTACCTGGCTCACCACTATGCCACATGCCTGTTTGCTACTGAGACAGTGTCAGAAACCTTCCAGCTTTCTAGAAACTCCCCATATGCCAAGGCTCAGAGAGCTCTTTAAAGCTTCCAATATGCGGGTTATCTGCCTTTCCTGGCTTTGAAATGTTTGTCCCTGAGGAGCTGTTATTTAATATCTTCCTTAGTTATCAACGGAAGGGAAATTTCTCCCATCGTCCTGCAGCTTTCCAAACACAGATGGGATTTATTGAAGGTTCTGCCTCCTCGAACTCATTAAAGTTTTACGGCACGGCTCCAGTGACACACCTCCTTCTCATCGGGTGCCCCCCAACAGCACAACTGTGGCTCAGGTCTCCTGGATGCTTTGAACATCCAGTTTAAGTGCCTTTTCTCAGGAAGTCAGCCTTGCCTGCAACCTGCCTCACGTGGGAGCGTGGCACCGGCAGCTCCTTCCGTAACAGCTATGGTGGGTGGGTGGGGAAGCAGAGGCAGGAGGAGGAGAGGAAAAAAAGTGAGGAGCGTGGAAATACATCCAAGCTGTCCCATGGATAAACATAACCTGGGGGTCACCTGGGGATCAGCTGGATTTTAATTGGCAGAAGGGAAGAAGGGAAAAGAGAAAGGGGGATATGAGCCCTGTGTTTGGTGGAAAATTCAGTTGGGGATCCCAGGGGGACATTCATGGTACCCCCCCAGGACATCCTGCATAGAGGAGGATGCAAACTGGGGAGCCTGAGGTTTTTTTGGGGGGGGCTTTTCTCCCTTGGGAAGAATATGAGGAGGATCAGCCCAGCCCAGCCCAGCTGGAATCCTGCAAATTGTCCCTCATAGGCTCTTGTTCTCTAAACTGCTCTCTTAACAGAATTACATCAACAGGAACCACAGTTTGCTCTGCAGCCATGCTACTGCACAGCCTCCATCAGCCTTGCTTCATCTCCAAACACCGCAGAGTTTGTCCAGAAGAAACATGCCGGCTGCTTACCAATGCCCTGTGACTGCTGAGAGTGGGGCAGCTGGAACTCGCTCCCCCCGTGGCCTTGAGACACGCACAGCCTGAGCCCCCACTGAGCCGGGGTTTCCCCAGCACATATTTATTCAGAGGCTCTACACAGAGAGGACAACCCGGCGCCAAACTTTGCAAGAGGCAGACCTGGCTGGAGTTCAGCAGAAACGGGGAATTAAGATGCTGAACTAAATCAATGCATCCCCACCCAGTTTCTGTTCAAATCAGGAATTTCATGCACAGGAGGTGTTTTGATCAGGGTCCCGGTTTACTCAATTAAGCAGAGAAAGCAGAGGGTTCCTGGCACAACACAGAAACCATCTTTACACTGAGGCTCTTGCAAGCTCAAACAGTAATTCAGATGCAAAGATGATCTCAGCAGCTGAGAAGAAACTCAGGGAGCAGAAGACAAAGCAAGCCTGTGCGGGGGGTGTGGAGAAGGAAAGAATTGCTGCTGGCTTGGTGCAGGAAGGAGACACTGATCACAGGGAAAGAACTGGGAGGAGGTGAAGGAAGCTGGTTAGGGAAAATCTAGGGATGACAGGAACCACTGCTGCTAAAATGCAGCAACAGTGGGGGATTGCTCAGGGCTGAAGATTCCACAGCACCTCTGCAACAGCCTTCAAGCTGTGACTGGTATGAGCCAGAGCCTGAAAACATCAGAGGGAAGCCTTGGGCACTGGGCAGCACAAGCATATGGAAGGAGGTACGTGGACTGCGAGAGGCACCTGGCCCTTGGCAGCTCAGGAGCACCCTGTGCCATGCTCACCTCCCCAGAGCTCCCCATCAGCACAGCAGATCACTGCTCACTGCAAACCCATACGGATGCCTTCTGCTCCCAGGTGGAGCTCTGCACGACTTGCTTGCAGTGCCACCTGCCGCCAGCGGCAATGCTCTTCAGATGCTGCAAGGAGACAGCGACAACCAAGAGCAATGAACTTCCTGCTGTTACATCAGATTTCCCTGTACTTTAAGAGCAGTTGAAGTCTTGATCCAAATAGCAACACTATTTCCCAAGCTGCAGGCAAGCAGCGAGTCACAGGCATAGCAGCAGACACCAATAAAGTACTTTTTTTTCCCTTCCCTTTTATGCAATTTCTTGCTGGAGCTGATCTCTTTCCCCAGAGACCACATTCTGAATCTTCTTGTTCATTGATTCTTTATGCCAAACGATGACTCCACAGTAGAAATAATGTGGCTTATTCTAGTTCGCATTTCAGACACTGTGAGACTTTTTAATAACGAATTGCATGAAAAATTAGGGAGGCTGCAACAAAGAACTCCGACGGAGGTTTCCACAGTGAATCACGGCTAGGAGAGCCTTGCTTTTCCAAAGCCCAGCGTGAGACAATCTCAAGAGCCCCCACGCTCAGAGAGAGCCGAGTCCTCCCCCTTTGGAAAAACAAGGCCTTTATAAGGAGACTTCCCCAGGGTGAGAATCACTGCGGGGAGGTTTGGCAACGACTTCAGGAATCTTGGCTGCGATGACATCCCGTTTCCATGAGTGCTTGCAGGGAGAAGGTTTCGTCCCCAAACCTCAGCTGTGCTGCCGAGGACGCTGTAGGAACTTGTGCTTTCACTGGCCTGGGCTCCTTGCCTGGTGTGTTGGCTCTGCAATGCTTGCACAACAGGGCCAGAGATGAATCCTGTTGCTCTTGCAGGGAGGTTACAAAGCACATCAATAAAGGGCAGCAAAACCTTTTCCATTCTCCGTTCCCAAAGCACTACCATACCCAGTGGCAATACAGTGCCTGCAGAAATAGTAAGCATCACCGTGCACAGATACCCCTGCCCACGCTTGGGGCTGGCTCACTGCCACCTCTGCAGCTCTTTGCCAGACTTTGCAGAAGGATGGAGGGGAAATTTCTTCAGGTTAATTTTTGGCTGATTGTTTACATTTCTTGCATCCATGCAACCTCCTGTCAACATATCTGGATGGGAAGCAGTGGACAACTGGCCTGGTGCATACCCCTGCTGGAGTTAATGCCACTGACGCCTTGGTATGAGTGGCACTTGCGCCATTGATGTCTCACCACGTACAGTGAGCAGTGCCTGGCTGCCAGGGTGGGAGGTGCAGCAGATGGTTGAAGGATGGGTTTGATTACTCTGCCCCCTCATCTGAGTTTAGCTCCTAATTCCTTCTGCATCCTGCTTTGGCTCCCTTTTTCCTGACCTCTGCAACATATGTCATAGCCACTGCCATCCCCAGGAGCCACAGTGCCAGGGCTCTCTCGGCAGTGAAACTCTCTGTTCACTCTTTTCTAGTGCCTATGAACCAAGCATAGCTCTCTCCACCAAACTTCTCCAGAAGCAGTTCCTCTCCTAGAGAAGTTCCCAGAACAATAAACACCTGCACCAGGGGGAGAACTACAGAGCTCTTGCAGGAGAGATGCTCTTGGGGTGTTTGCTGGTGGTGAGGGGTTATTCAGCACAGCCCAAAGGGTATTCCTACATCAGCTGACAAAACAAAGCATTCAGGCAGCTCTTACCACATTCCAGAAGAATGGGTTGAAGGCGATTGAGAGGACGGCTGCAATGAAGCCAGAATCAGTCACATCCACATAGCTGAAGACCCGCGCCATGGCTGTCACATCCACCTGGGGAGAAAGAGGCAGTTAATTGGGGTGAGAGTTCCTGCAGAGGCACTGAGTGTTGTACCCAAAGATGGGGTACTTCATCCCAAACCAAATGCTCTGTAAGAACTGATGAACCTTCAGACCAAATCCTCCCATGCTCTGGGGACACTGGGCTCTCATGGAGCTTGGTGAAGGACGTGGGCACCGCAAAGACCCTGTGGCAATGGGGATGTGCATCAGCACTTTAGGTCAGCTAGGAAAGCCAAGATTGTTTTTAAGCTGCAGGAAAGGGAGCACCATTTCACTGTGTCCTAGTGACCCTGGGGACTGAGGAATGTCCCTGGAGTGCTGCTCTGCGTGGAAACTCTGAGCATTGAACTGCATCAGCTTCCAACTTGCCTTCCATAAAGCAAGGCTGATGCAAGCCCACAATATTGCACAGGGATGCTCTGGCATTGTTAGCAGTTGCAAAAGACTTTCCTATCTTATTTAACAGCAACAAAAGGAAACCTTAAAGCTTGCTGCTTTTCTCTCTTTTCCCTTTTAAGAAAGAAACATTTTTCCCAGGACAGCTCCTTGACATTATCAGCATTTTTACATGGAGTTAGCCATGCTGCTTCTCCATCCCTGTCCCCTCTCCCTGCAGTGGTATTTCAATGAAAAACAACCAGCACCTTTTTTTTTTTACCCAAAACTGTGAAAACAAACGACAAACTAGCCCAGCCCAAGCCCTTCCCTCACTTGAATCGAAATCAAGACAACACTGAGACGTGGAAGGTTTTTGCTTCCCAAACACAGCTGTGTTTGCAAGTCCTTCAATGCCAGAGGACAGGAAGGGCTGGAAAAGGCATTGCCTTTGCTTTGCCTGTGCAAGAGAGAAACTCCCGCTGGCTCCTCCTGAGCTCTTCAAAGGGACTGGAGCTGTGGTGGGATTTGTGGAGAGGGGCTGTTTGACCTGCTGTCCCCTCACAATGAGCAGACCGCCCACATTACGAAGTGCAAGAGCAAAGGTTGCTTCAGTATGGGCAGACAGGGGAATCCTCACAGAGGTTTGCTTGCTGCCCACAGCCCACCACTGATTATCCCAGGTCTATGGGGCACCTCCATCCCAGTCAGGAAGAAAGAGAAGAGCCCCCATGGCCTGGTCCTGACCCTCTGCTCCCATTCCTACCTTCTCCCTCTTGTCACAACTGGCCAGACCTTTGCTGTCAGACTTCAAAATCCTTTCAAAATGAATTCTGCCAAGATATAACCTGCACACCACTGGTGCCAGGACCAAACTGTTCAGTCCCACTTCAGTTGCAAACCCACAAGACCAGGACAGCTTCTTTCCTCTTGTTTCATACAGTGCTGTGCACGCTACCAGCACAGGCTGAACAAAAGCTTCTTGACCTACTAACTCCTGTCTGGCAACATCATTAACATTGCACTCACCTTTTTTTCCCCTCCTCAACAACCAAATTTGCTGCTGCTAGCAGGAAGCAGATTGGCCCGTGCCTAGCGTGTGCTCATAGGGATAAAAGGGGAACAAACCCATTAGGATGAGCTGTCTCTGCAAGTTACTGAGACAACATAATGAGCACAGAACATTCAACTTTCCCCTTTCCTCCCTGACAGGTGATAAATAACCACATCTGCAATCTCTGAGAGTCTCCTGGTGGCAAATCTTGCTTGGAAGCTGCACAGCCCCAAAATCAGGGTGGATGGGCACCCAGGTCTGGTTGAGGCACCCTGTTGTGCTGGATCCTAGGCAAACACAGCTGTTGCCACGAAGATGGAGCATGCAATCATGGACTGAGCAGAAATTAGTGCCAGGAAGGGCTATGGAAAGCATCTCGAGCACTGTGTGCACTGATGCTGAGCATCCCTGTGCATCTGCTCCAACTGCAGACATAGCCCAGGGGTTTATTGCTGTGTCCCATACGAACAAGCCCTATTCAGCGTTTGCACAGGACACTGACTTGCTCCCTAGGTGGCTTGGCAGCCCTGCAACCCTCAGCCTCACATTCATAGCATGCTGGGCACTGTGCAAGCCAGTGTGGTGCAATGGGAACGCGATGGGGAGGGCACGGAGCACCTGGCCGTGGTGACCTCACTGCCACCTGCTGCGTTCCCAGTCCTGCCGAGGACAACAGGAGCCAACAGAAGCCAACATCTCCCTGCTGCTGGCAGAGCGCAGCGAAACATTCACAGCACCGTTCCGGAGAACGCTCTGCTGCACCGGCACGGCACGGAGACCAGGCACCCCTACTTTGGGAGAAACCCCCCCAGAGCCGCACGGAGCGGGGCGGCAGTGTGGGGAGGGGAGAGGCAGAGCAGCAGACCCCGCGGCACCCCCCGCTCGCCCCCCTCGTCCCGCTCCCGGTACCTCGCCGTACTCCAGGCCTCCCAGCCCGCCGCAGCAATCCCGCGGCCACCACCGCGGCCCCGCTCCCCGCCGGCCTCCGGGCCTGGGCCTCCCCGCCATGGCACGGGGCCGGGGCTGGGGCACCCCGCGGCCTTCCCCCGGCCGGCTGCCAGCGAGCGCGGCGGCGTTGATGGGAAGTGTAGTCCTCCCTTCGCTGCGGGGACTACACGGCCCAGAGGACGCTGCGGCCTGAGCTGAGAGAGGCCCGGTCTGATCGCGGCCTGCTCGCGGGGCCTCGTCCCACCTGGCTCCCCGCTGACCTCGCCGCGGGCCCCGCCGCCTCCGCTGAGGGCTGTGAGCGTGTGTCTGCCCGCAGCACCGGGCAGGCCGGCCTGTGCTGACGGCGGTTGGACTTTGCCCCCCTGACCAGTGAAGCAACCGAGGTGGTGGGGGGGACTGGGACCGCCTGCAGCCCCCAAGGCCTGGGGGGCAGATAGGGGGTTCTGCGTAGGGTGGGTTTGCGGGGCCTGGCCACGCCGGCCCGGATGAACACAAACAGGGCGTCAGTGACACTGCAGAGCGGGACTGGGCGGGGAGAAGAGGTCCCCAGGATCTATTTTTCTGTGGGGAAGGACTTGGGGGTCCTGGTGGATGAGAAGTGGGACACGAGCCAGAACTGTGTGTTTGCAGCCCTGAAAGCTAACAGTATCGTGGGCTGCATCAACTGAGGGGTGGCACGGGGCAGGAGGGATTGTCCCCCTCTGCTCTGCCCTCGTGAGGTGCCACCCAGAGCACTGCATCCAGCACAGGGATATGGAGCTGCTGGAGGGTATGGGGATGTCAGAGCAGAGCACATCTGCAGTGGGCACAGGCTGAGAGCTGCGGGTGTGCAGCCTGGGGAAGAGAACCTCCAGAGAGACCTCACTGCAGTCTTCTGCTACCTAAAGGGAGCTGATAAACGGGACGAGGACCAACAGTCCCATAGTGATAGGACGAGGGAGAATGGCTTTAAACTAAAAGACGGGAAATTTATATTAGATATTAGTAAATAAATTTTTACTCAGGGCAGTGTGTCACTGGAACAGGTTCCCCAGAGAAGCTGTGGGTGTCCCATGCCTGGAGGTGCCCAAGGCTAGGTTAGATGGGGCCTGATCTGGTGGGGGACAGCCAGCCCATAGCAGGGGAGTTGGAGCTCAGTAGTGTTTAAGGTCCCTTGCAACTTAAGTCATTCTATGGTTCTGTGGTTCTATGACGCCATTATTTTCTGCACTCCTCTTCTGGATATTTATGATCGGTGCATGTGGTGGGCTGCAGTTCTGGACCTGACTCTGTGTGGGCAATCTGGTAGTATCTTCCATGCCCCCACAGGGCTCCTACATGGACCATTCAATTTTAAAGACCTTCATTTGAGGGGAAATATATTTTTTTCAAAAGGGAGTTTAATAGGAAGGAAGTGTCATGAGTGAGCTGCAGGCGTCCCTTCCAGAGATGTCTCAGAAGCAGCGGTGAGGAAAGGGCTGAAGGGATGTCTGTACACACATGCCCTAACAGGCAGTGAAAAGGTGCAGGAGTGGCAGCTCACATGCATGCATCACCAGCAAAACAGCATCCTTTAAAGTTGCACTTGAAAGGTGCTTTGAAAACCAGCGAGGACTCTTGGCTCAGTGGAAAACTGGGTTTCATTGGATCTGCTGCTCCGCTGCACCCATGCATCCTCATCTCCCCACCTGCAGGACCAGCTCTGCGCTATGGGTGCTTGCACAAGGCTGGACCCCATCCTGTCTGGGCTCTCTGAACACATTCATAGTAGAATTTGCAAAGCTGGCTGGTTTGGGGTGAGATGAAAGCACTGTGGGTGGGAACAACGTTCCCCAAACGGATTATCTCCAGCTGCTTCCGGCCTCTTCTCCCTTGTGCTGGATAATTTTGCTGTGCTGAGTGTGTAATTATCGCCTCTGCCATCTCCCAGGCTGGAGCGCAGGAGCAGATGGGAGGATGTTTGTTTTGCAAGTCCCACCAGCTGGGTCCTTGGGGCAGAGGGGAGGGTGAACGGGATGCAATGGGAAGAGCAATGATGGCAGTGTTCAGAGAGGAGGAAATGTCCCCCAGGGGAGGGAATTAGCAGTGAGAAATTGTCTCCAAACCAGCCTCTGTGCTGCAAGAGGAGGATGTCCCTGTGCTGTCAGCATGGCTAGTGGGAAGAGGACAAGGATGTCATGGTAGGCTGAGAGAATAAAGGCCAGCAGGGCGGGGATGTCACAGATATATCCATCCTGTCACCCCCACACTGGGGATCACCCTGGAAGGGCATGTGTTTCAGGGGAGGAGGACTGTCACAAACTGCATGGGAAACATTCCTAGAGCTCCCATGTCACTCCCACTGCCAATTCCCCTGTTGAGGGGACATTGGGTTGGGGGATTTCCAGTGGTGGAGTCCCTCCATACACCTTTGTTGTGCCTCTGGGAAACATTCCAGCAGCTGGGAAGAAGACAAAGAGGACTTTCTGCAGGGTGGGTCTCTTTCTGTGTTCCCATCCCTTTCCTTCTCCCCATGGCATGCCTTTTATTCAGCTTTCAATTTCCAAGCACTGAGCTAAGGAAGGGAGCATTTCCCTCAGTGTTCCCAAGTCCCTTCTCAGCTTGAAGCCTCCCAACAGCCTTTTAAATACCACCATGATCCTGAGGGGTCACCAATGAATATGCAATTGCAAAATGCCTGCGTGGGCAGAAATCACTTAAACAAAGTCATTATTGGTACGGGGGATGAGGAACTGTCCTGACAGAGGGAGGACCAATGGTGCATCTGCTGTAGAGGGTTTCTGAGCATTGCACACTCATTGCATATGGGTCAGCCATGCATACATGCAGCAGCCCAGTGGAGGATGCTGGCTGTCAGATCTAGCAGGATGCCATGGCTCAGCAAGCTGCAGCTTGCTCAGAAACATGTCAATGTCCCTGAATGCAAGGAGACCCGAGGGACTCCCAACAATGTAGGGCAAGGAGTACTGTTGGGGGTTTCCCTTGGAAATGAGATACTGCAAATGTGGCTGGAAAGCTCCAGTCAAGAGCACAGGTTAACTTCAGCACATGGTCTGGGGCCTTTTTCACCAATACTTCATGTCCCTTCCCCAAGGGCAGTGTCACAGCTCATAGTTCAAAACCTTTCATGAAATGAAGCTGACCCCCTTGCAAACCTTCAGCAGTTTGGACCAACAAGCTACACAGATCAAAGACAGCATCAAAACACCATAAACAAACAAGACTACATTGCAAACAGAAGCAAATTACACTGGAACACAAAGCTGAAACCTTGGGCTGTTCAGACAGCACTGAAATTGCAGATACTCTTCTGTTCTCCATCTGATAACGTGTTGTCACCAGCCGTGCAATGCTGCAATCCAGACCTGCAATCCTAGTGGAAATCCTCTAGTGTTTGTGCTGGAGGTTAGCTCTATTTATATTCTGATGAATGATTTACTCGAGTAATTGGCACACAGCTCCCCTATTACAGATCATAAAGAATTAATCACGAGATTTTCAATGCTCCCCTATTAATTTTATTAGGCTTGATTGAACGTGGTGGATTGGGAACATACGGTATGTGAATCAGACTCTGCTCCCACTTACACCCCAGTTAGTGCTGGGGACTCGCATGGATCCTGATCCCTGTAAATCTGCAGAGGTAGCTGCACCTTTGCCTCCTTGAATGCTTTCATGTGATTGCCAGGGATGCGGTGACCCAGCTCAGCTACACATACCCAAATTCTCCAAAAACCTGAGATGCTCTCAGGCTGAAAGCTGAGCTGGGCTGAGCGTGCTGTGCTTCCTGCTCCTTTGAGCCAGAAATCAGAGCTGAGTGCTTGGGAGCTCGAGATCTGCCCCTAGAGCAGTTGTTCAGCAATGGCCCCAGGAGGAGAGCTCCTGCGAAGGGGATGTGTTGTGGTACGGGGGTTTGTTGATGCTGAAAGCTGAAGATGCTCGTGCTGGCATCAGGGCTGCCTGCCAGGCATCTTCTCCCTGGCAGGAGCCAGCACATTCACCGCTGGGCAGTCGTGCTGGGAAGGAACACAGCGATGCCATGGAGCGATGATTGCCCATGGGAGATGCTTTCTTGAAAGAAGGAATTAGCAGCAAGAAGTCCCAAAGCCTCTAGGAGCAGGATGACACATCCCTGCCCCAAGCCAACAGCATAACATGATTCTCTGGAACAGAAATCTTAAAAACAGCATCCCCTGTGTGGCTGTCCTCATGCAGAAAATGGAGGAAAACCTACAAAATCTCCACGTTGAGGGCTCACAGTCCTCTCCCAGTTACTGTCTTCTGTTTTCACCTGTGGGTTTTTTTTATCGTGCTGGCTCGTGCAGTTCCCAGTGGTGCATGTCATGATGCAGGGAGGGGAGACAGCACAGGCCCTGGCCCACCTCCTGGGCAGTGCTCACCTTCAGAGCTGGTTCCCGCTGTGCTCTGAGCATCTCAGTTGGTTTTTACATGAGGAATTGGGAACATCGGGTGTAGCTGGAGCTGCTTGCATAAGCACAGCTTATCACAAACCAGGTTTGCAGAGCAACCGGTCTGGCACAGCTACAACCCACAGCCCCATCTGCTGTCTTGAGCAGCTGCACTGAAGGGCACCGGGAAGTTATTGCCAGGAACTTTTGGCAGGAGCCAGCGAGGAGACCTCCCTGCGGGGATAGCTGAGCCGGGCAGAGCAAATTGGAAAGGCAGCAGAGGGCAGAGCAGGATCTGTCCTTCCTGCAGGCAAAGGGGAATAGCATCCCTCCAGGCTCAGCATATTTCTGTGCCCTTAGAACCAAGTGCATGATGTGTGAAGCAGGATGGAGCAGCTCCCTCTGCACAGCAGTCAGAGACAGTATTTGGGGAACGATTCACAGCAGCTTCCCCGCTCCCTGAGGCTGCGTTCATCACCGGCATGTCTCTAATGAAGCAGAGGCTTTGCTTTCTGGGATCAATGAATCCACTGATCGTGACCTGTCTGCTAAGTGGGAAATCAGGTCTCTCCCTCCCCGAACTCGTCTGAGCTCGGCTCAAACAGCAGGCTGTGTCCCCAAGGCACTCCATGTCGCTTAATTGCAAATCCCGTGTCTGATTAGAGAGCAGCAGCACCAGCATGCAGAGCCTGTGCTGCCACAGCCCAGGAAGCAGCAGCAGGAGCAAGGAGGATATTTCAGGGCTCCAGAAGGGTGGAAGTCCCCTGAGCTCTCTCTTGTTCTCAGTGCACTGATCCTACAGAGCCGGCTACAGGGTTTATTGCTGTTCCACTCTCCCCTAAAGCCCTAAATCCCTAAATCCCCCAAACCATTTGAATCCCTCCAGACGTCCTCTCCGTGGGGACAAACGCTTGAAGAGAGGTTGGCTTCCCAAAGCAGGAGGCAGCTGCAAAGGTCGCTGCTACCACCTCACACTGTCACAAGCCCACCCCACACCACAGGCACCCCATTGCCCTATAGATCCATCCCCACATAGGCAGCTTTCCCTGTGACTACAAAGCTACTCCATGCACTCCAGCACCTTTTCGCTATCCTGTAAGTGCACTGCATTGCTCCAGACCCACATGGCACATTATTAGGGTGTCTCCATTAGCAGAAGAGCCACCTAATGCTCACCACAGCAGGAGGGATGGAGGGGCTGAGTCACCACATCCTGCATCACCTCCTATTCCTCGCCCTGGGCATTCAGCCTTGCTCTAAGATGTGGCAAGTAGGGGAGCTGCAGAGAGGAAAAATTCCTCCAGGACTCAGCAGGAGGACAGCATCAGTGGTGGGGCTTCGTGCCATGTGTGACAGCCCCCACAGCAGCACCCAGCACCACTCTGTGCCACGGAGCCTGCTGGGGACAGCATATTCTCCATATGATCTCTCAAAACCATGTAGTGGGGCTCAGAACACCCCAGGCTCCTGTGGAAGGGCAATGTGCAGTTCAAAGAAGAAGGGCTGGGGCTTCCACAGGAGCATGCAGGTTTAACCCCAGGAACTACAAAGCTGCCTATAAATACCTCTGTGGAGCATCGCTCCCCCTCCTCTTTGATGTGGTGCTGTTA